AAAAAAAAGAAAACCTTCGCTCCCCCGTTTTCTCCCGCCTCGATCCTGAGGCATAGGCACGCATCACGGCCTTGCAGACTACATTTCCCAGAGAGCCCGGCGGCTGTCATCTCAAGCGAGAGCCGCGTGAGGTCGTCCTTCAGACCTGCCGCCGGGTCCCCGGGTGGAGCGAGGTTGGTTCTTTGCCAGCGCCCCGATTGGTCGCCGCATTTCGTTGCCGTGGGAAGCCGCGGTCTGGGTGAGCCTCGCTGGAGCCGAAAGAGGGCCCCGGGGGAGGGTCGCGATTCCCGGGCGGGGGCGGGGGAAACAAGGCGGAAACCTGGGCTGGGTGCTGCAGCGTCTGCTTGAAGGCAGCCACAAGTTAGCCGCTGGGCAGGTTAATTGAGGACACGTGTTCGGTCACGGTCACGACCACGCGAAGTCGGCGCGCGGCTCTTCGGGGGGAATGCAACTTTAAACATGCTCAGATGCTCTGTTTTCTCTTTGTAAAGACCCCCGAGTTCTTTGACACCTCCCCCTCCAAAAAAGCTCTTCGGCGTCCGCTCTCAGTCCGACACCCCCCTTTTTTTTTCTTTGCCTCCAGTGTTGGTGCCCCGAGGGCGTGGATGGAGAGCAAGGTCCGTAGGCCTTGTAGGGAGGGATGGTTGGCTATGATCCGGATTCCGAGTATAGCTCCCTTTCGACTGTGAAAGTAGCAGCGGCGGGATCCGCTTCCGGATTGGTCACTCGGGCAATGATCGGCCCTTTTGATGTGCTCAAGATTCGCTTTCAGGTATTATCTTTATGACATTGGACAAACAAGAAGGAGGAGGTAAGGGCAGGGGTAGTCAACCTTGGCTGTTTTATGACTCATGGACTTCAATTCCCAGAATTCCTGAGCCAGCTTAGCTGGCTCAGGAATTCTGGGAGTTGAAGTCCACGAGTCATAAAAGAGCCAAGGTTGACTACCCCTGAGGTAAGGGATATCCCCGCCCTCCCGTTCTTCCACTACTAGGAAAGAGCTGGTTTGGCCATTAGCTTTGCCTTTCCAGAGGTTATTTAATTGGGGTCCAATTACAGAGCCCGCTATTTTTTTCTCTGCTGTCTGCATAAGGCAGTGTTTCTCAACCTTGACAATTTTAAGGCATGTGGACTTCAACTCCCAGAATTCCACAGCCAGCATTGCTGGCTGTGGAATTCTGGGAGTTGAAGTCCACATGCCTTAAAATTGACAAGGTTGAGAAACACTGGCATAAGGTTTTGCATCCCGGCAGAAACACAGCTGAATGTTCCTTCACCTGAAGACATTGGCCCTCGTTTAAAGGAACAGAAGGTGGTTCTTGAAGGCACTGATCCAGCTATCCAAGAGCTACTAGTTATGATAGTTATATGGAATCGGAGGCAGGTGGCTTCTAGGAGAAAGTTAGTGGAAGGCAATCTTCCTGACATATCTGGCTTGTGTGAGATTGGACTTCCACAAGCATCTGAGGAGCCCCGTGGGAAGAGTGTACTAAACTAGAAAGCCTTATTTATTTATTTATTTATTTATTTATT